GATTTTCAACCAGCAAACAAGTTTTCAACAACAAAGTCCTCAACCATCTTTCCAAGATACAACACACCAGTCTGTTGATTCATCTACTTCCTTGGAAGCAATGATGAAAGGGTTCATAACCCAAACTCAGGCTTCAATCAGAAACCTTGAAAAWYRGGTTGGACAAGTAGCTTTGGAAATGAGACAAAGACCGATAGGCTTTTTACCTAGTGATACGGAGACACCTCAGAGAGAAGAAAAAGTGCAGGTCAAGGTTGTGACATTGAGGAGTAATAAGATATTAATAGAAAATCTCCAAAAAAGAACCAAGCAAAGCAGAGATTGAAAAGAAAATCCCCCTTGACTTGAGCTCTTCTTATCAGCTCCCCCTTGAACAATGCTTGGATCATTTGTGATATGTAGAGCATATGCATAATAATCAAGGTACAGAGGCTCTATATGTACTATACAAAAGCTCTGTATCACAAAAGAAACTTAAAGTAAGAGGCTCTGCATGTACTATGCAGAGGCTCTGTCTCATGGATCAATACAAACAAACAAAATAACAGAGGTTATGTAGAGGCTCTGCCTTTGTTTGAAAGATTAAGCATACCCAACTTGCTAACTAGAAAATTGAACCTCTTTTCATCAAGAGCTTTTGTAAAAATGTCAGCAAGTTGTAAATCTGTACTAACAAAAAACATTTCAATCGTACCTTTCTCTACATGGTCCTTGATGAAATGGTATTGAACATCGATGTGCTTTGTTTTTTAGTGTTGCACAGGTTGGCTGAATTACACAGAATTGGAATCTTCTCAAACTCTACGCCATAGTCTTTCAGTTGAGTCTTCATCCATATCACTTGAGAGCAGCTGGCTGCAGCTACATACTCTGCTTCAGCTGTGGAAGTAGAGACGCAGTTCTGTTTATTCGAGGTCCAGCTTATGAGCTTGTTCCCGAGTAATTGGCAGCTCCCTGATGTACTCTTTCGATCGAGTTTTCAACCTGCATGATCAGAATCTGTGTACGCAATCAGATCAAAACCAGAATACTTTGGATACCAAAGACCCAAAACTTGAGTCCCTTTAAGGTATCTAAAGATTCTTTTTACAGCTGAAAGGTGAGATTCCTTTGGATTTGCTTGAAAACGGGCACAGAGACATGTGGCAAACATAATGTCTGGTCTACTTGTCGTGAGGTATAGTAGTGATCCAATCATTCCACGGTAAGTCTTAACATCCACCGGTTTTCCAGATGGATCTGTGTCAAGCATAGTACCCGTAGCGATTGGTGTTCTCATGGTGGAAGAGTTGTGGAGTTGGTATTTCTTTAATATGTCGGAGGCATACTTAGCTTGGCTAATGAAGATACCATCCTCCCTTTGTTTTACTTGCAAGCCTAGGAAGAAGGTCAATTCTCCCATCATGCTCATTTCAAACTCGCTCTTCATCAACGCAGAGAACTTATCACAATGCCTCTGATTCGTTGAAACAAAGATAATGTCGTCCACATATATCTGTAATAAGAGCATCTCACCTTTATACGTCTTACTAACCAAAGTTGTATCGATTTGACCTTTCTCAAAACCATTAGATAAGAGGAAAGACGAGAGACATTCATACCACGCTCGAGGTGCTTGCTTAAGTCCATACAGAGCTTTGTCTAAGAAATAGACATACTCTGGATGTGTGGAGCTTTCAAACCCCGGAGGTTGTTGAACATAGACTTCCTCCTTCAGCTTACCATTCAAGAATGCTGACTTTACGTCCATTTGATAGACTCGGAATCCCTTATGTGCGGAGAAGGCTAAGAACAAGCGTATAGCTTCTAGCCTTGCTACTGGCGCAAAGGTCTTGTCATAGTCTATGACTTCTTCCTGACAATAACCTTTTGCTACGAGCCTAGCTTTATTTCTTACCACGATCCCATCCTCATCCTTCTTGTTCCTGAAAACCCATTTACAACCAATTGCAATTTTATCCTTCGGTAAAGGAACAAGAGTCCATACCTTATTTCTCTTGAATTGTTGGAGCTTTTCTTGCATGGCATCGACCCAACTAGGATCTTGTAGGGCTTCATGTACTTTCTTAGGCTCTACCATGCTAAGAAAGTTTACGAATAAACATTCATTATTTGTGGCAGCCCGTGTCTTTACTCCACTTGAAGGTTCACCAATGATCTGGTGAAGAGGATGATCTTTTGTCCATTTTGTTCTTGGGACAGATAGAGAAGTGGGGGATGTTTGATCACGTTCCATGGGCATGTATGGCATTAAGCTTGTTGATGGTGAAGAAGGCTCTGCTTGCTGCCCCTCGGATGATGGTACAGAGGAACCAGGTGCAGAGCCAGAGGTATTATGCTCTGGTTCTACGTGACTGGGCTTTGATGCAGAGCTTGTTTACTTTGGTTGTGGATTGATGTGATCTTCAGAGGAAGTAGAAGTGTGTGAAGGACCAGAGTCAGATGTGCTTGTTGTTTGTGATCCTTCACTTACACTCGCAGATGCATCTCTTGGTGCATGTACAGAGATGTCTTCGTCACCATAGAAGTCTTCAAATAGAAGCCTGAGTTCCAATTCCCTTGACTTCATTTGAGAATTGGAAGTCTGATGGTTAAGATCGAGTCCAGAGATGAGGTACTCTGAAGTCAATTGTTCTTTATCGTCAAACGAGACGTTGATGCTTTCCATGACCGTCTTGGTTCGTTGATTGAAGACTCTATATGCCTTGGCTTTGGTTGAATAACCAAGGAACTTGCCTTCATGGGCCTTCTTGTCGAACTTGCCAAGCACTCAGTCCCTCCTAAAATTTAGCGTTATGCACATTTGAT